GAAGCTTCATTTCCCCGCCCTGGAACCCTGGGTTGCATGGTCTGTCTCACTCCCCAGTTGTTCCAGTTTATCTGGATGCAAATGTGGGACCGCCTGATCCACTAGCCACTGCCTCGCCACAAGTCCTCTCCACCCTGGCTGCCCATCTCCGCCCCTCTGACTAGTCTGGATGAATCTTTCTTCTTTAACTCCTTGGCTGTCAGACTTCCATACAGTTCAATTTTCTGGTAGTTCCGGTTATTTCTTGTTTTTAATTTGTTGTTGTCTTTCTTTTGGTTGTGCAAGGAGGCAAAGTGTATCTACCTATGTGTCCATCTTAGCAGGAAGTGCCATTGCCTCCTTCTATCGTCACTTCTTCTCTCCTTCCCCCATACCACAGGTTTATCCTGGAATCAAGGGTCAGAATTGCTTTGATTTTCTTGTTTGAGTCTTGTCTTTTGTGTGGTTCTTTGAAGTTATTGCAGGCTTGATCTTTTTCTCAATCCAGTTTTAATATTGTGGTTCCTGCCTTCTTCCAGAATAGTATTCACTTGGAGTTGAAAGAAGTGGTTTCTCAAATTGGTAATTACAAAATAGTCACAAGGAAGTAAAGTACAGCATAGACAATACATGTGGAGTTGATGATATGGCAGTAACTATGTATGGTGCCAGGCGGGCACTAGACTTTTGGGGGAAATTACTTTGTAAATTACATGTGTCTAACCACTATGTCTAACAACTGAAACCAATACAAAATAATGCTGAATGTCAACTGTAATTGAAAAATTATTATTATTTTTTCAAAGAAAGAAGTGGTTTCAGCCAGAAGAACAAACACGGGTGTTGGCTGCCTGTCAGGACTGAGTGTGTGTTGGAGGAAACGGCCCTGATGCATTGTGGGGTCATGGAAACTTCTACTTTTTTCTAGTTTTTTGACTCTAAATTTGAAGCATGTCTAAAGTTGCTATTATCTTTGCAGCAGTTGTTTCCTGCAAGTACTTTGGGATAGTTTTTTACTCTTATTTCTTTGTCAATCCAATTACTTCTGCTTTCTATCCTTAGGGAATTGTAGCTCACTGATATACCCTTTCTTTACCCGAGAGGTGCTAGGGGTTTGGGCTATTCAATTGGCTCTCTGCTTCAAGAAATTTGGGTCAGGAAGGAAAGTAGATTACTATCTTAATCTAATCTCTCCTATTGCTTCTATCTTTCTATAGCCGTCTGAGCCTTTCTTTTTATCAGAACTGATAAAGAAAATAAACTGATAAGATAAACAAATTCTATTTATGAGAGCAATTTTCTCTTGACTTTACTGAAGTAATAATTTATCATTTCTGTTTCCTGCATTAACTCATTTTCACCAGGACTCATTTGCCCATACGCTTTAAGCTCAAATACTGACAACATGAAACCCATTATTGGTTTAATGATCTGGGAAAAGATAAAATGCATAAGAAAAAAACATGAATTATAAAGAATGGGAGGCTTACCCTAAACACTAAACATGAGACTAATAAATGGGTTAGTTCTCAGTTATATGCAATTAACTGAAATTATGTAATGGGAATGAGCATGTTTTCACTTTTTCAAGGCTCGTGTTGACAGGGTTTTCCATCCTCTGCACTATTGACACTTTGGCCCAGATGAATCTTTGCAGAGGCAGCAGGGGCTGTCTCATGGCGGATGTTTTGCGGCGGCGGATGTTTTGCGACGGCGGATGTTTTGCAGCACCCCTGGCCTCCACCTCCTGAACGTCAGTATCACCTTCCCCCACATCCCACTGATTATGACAACCAAAAATGCATCCAGATACAGCCAAACTGTACTCCGGAGGAGGGTGGGACTAAATTTCCCCAATTGAGAACTACTGTTAGTGGGGCAAAGGGGAAAAAATTGGGACAACTGTCATAGCATAAATGATAAAATATAATTTAAAAAACTCCCTGTTCAATGAAAGAACCACTAGCCAAAATAGTTTTTCTTATATTAGATGATAAAATATATAACGCAGAATTGTATGTCCATTATATCCAACTCAGTACTTTACAATAGACTGTGTCTTATCACAGTCCCATGAAATATTGAAAATACTGATGCTCTCTGAGTTCAGCGTGGTTAAAAGTAGAATGTGAAAGGTAGGGAAAAAAAGCTCTAACACTAGAATTAAAGACTGGAACTCTTGTAAACAACTATTAACCAAAAAATAAAGAAAAACCCAATTAGACAATGTCTAGAAAATAATAAAATTGACTTATAAAACCTTAACTAAATTAGTGCTCAAAAGAAAAATCAATGTAGTCAATGTTTATATTGTAAAACAAGGAAAAGAAAACCAAACAAAAATCAATGAAATAGGCATTCAACCTAGAAAGTTAGAGGTCTACTGAAAAACTTAGAGAAATAGACAAGAAATCAGTAAAAGAAAATGAGACATTAGTGAATTAGAAAACAGAAAACAGCAGAACCAATTAATGAATTTTCTTTTCCTTTGGGCAATTTGCCCTAAAGTGAAATCCAGAAAAAGCAAAAATGACTTGATAAACTACAAATTAATGAACAGGAAAAACAACAGAGAGACATACCAAATAACAAAAAAGGGGGAAATAACCACAGGTTTAGGAGAATTAAAGGAATCAAGAGAGTTCAAGTGTGTAGGAGAGCGTAGGGATTTTTATTTTGTTTACTGATCTGTCCCCACTGCCTAGGATAGAGCCTAGCGGAGTGGCACACAGAAAATGGTGGTTGACTGAATGAATGAATATATTTACCTTTGCTAAACTATATACAACATTGAAACCTTTCAAGAAGAAAAATGTGAAAAATTGGTCCTAGATGAGATAGAAAGTATACGGTCTCCCTGGTGACAGATGAAATTCTCAGGTAGATTCTGCCAACACTTTAAGGAACAAATCATTTACATTGAACTTAATTTTTTCTAGAGCACAGAGAGTGAAAGAAAATCTTGCTTTCTTTTTTTAACAATGGAGTGAGCACAACTTGATAGTAGAAACGAATTAAAGAGTATACATAAAGAAAACTACAGAATAGTCTTATATATAAATATCAATATAAAAATGCCTAATGGAGCATTATCAAATTGCAGCACAGTTGTAAAAAAAAAAACCTGGGCAGTTATTTCTGTGTGTTTCTGGTAAGGCTGTCTCTCCCTGACCTCCATGTAGCCCTTGGCAGGACTTACCTGAGTCCCAACCTTTTCCTTTCCTGACAACCCCCACCTGCTCCTAGAGATCCCACATAGCTCTGCATGGCCTTTGAAGGAAGTTTACCAGTAGCCAAATCTAAGGGGGACCCTATATAAATCCATGTATTTACTACCCCCTGCCCGCACACTCTGCAACTCACTCTCAAACACACCAGGGCCCAGAGGAGATTAGGATTAAAAGTGATTATCTATTCCACACACCCCTCCCACCCCAGCTATAGCCCAGGGAAGTGAAAACACAGGAATTTGGTATCTAGAGGTAGAAACATGAAGTCTACAGTTCAGATTCTGGGGGAGTTCACATTCCAGGGCCAGGGCTCCACAAAACATCCAGATTTAGTTAACCAGTCTACAGTGATCAGAGATGAAAGTCACCAGCAGACGCCTGAAACTGTTAGGGAGTTCCAGAGAAATACCTAGTGTGGGGAATTTGATTTTGCTCAACCTTCCTTAATTCCCATAACTGTGGTCACAAAAGCGTGTACATCTCAAAGAGTTGAAGGCTGCAGACATGGGATCATTGTTTATGTCCACCTCTTGGACTCTCGCTGCCCTCAGTGTCATTACCTAGGAAAGATGGAGCCCAAGGGAGGTCCTCGAGGAGAACAGTCAGGGTAGGCAGGTCAAGAAGCCTTCTGCAGCCTGGGGTAGCAAGTCCTGGCTTTGTCTCCTTTTCTTGGCAGGTTATGTCCCCATTGATGTGTCTTACTTCCTAGCAGGTCAGGGGCACCCGATTAGACAGGAGATTGATTTGGGTTAATAAACATCTCTGGGGTCATATAAGTCCCCAGGAGGGTCAACATGGTTGGTTATCAATGCCTGAGCTCAGCAAAGCTCTGACCGAGTGAGGCCACTTTTACCATTGATGTCAATCAGAGAGGCTGGAAATCTGGACAGAGGGATGGTGTGTTAGTGTGCTGTGGCCGCTGTAATAACGTGCCGCAAACACGGTGACTCACACAGCACGTTTATTATCTCGCCGTTCTGGAGGCCAGGCCCGAGATCAGGGAGTCAGTCAGGTTGGCTCCTTCCAAGGGCTGAGAGGGAGAATTTGGCCTACGCCTCCGCCCAAGCTTCTGGTGGTTTGCGGTAAATCTTGGAGGTTCCTTTCCTTGTAAAAGCATCACCCTCATCTCCTCCTCTGTCCTCACATGGCATTCTTCCTGTGTGAGTGTCAGCGTCCAAATGTCCTCTCCTTACAAGGACACCAGTCATATTGGACAAGGGTCCACCCTAATGGCCTCACCCTAAGTAATGATATCTGTAATAACCTTATTTCCAAATAAGGCCACCTCTGAGGTACTGAGGGCTAGGATTTAACATATACATTTTGGGGATACAGTTCATTCCAACATAGAAGGGAAGCTTGAAGGGATTGAGAGGGGAAGGAGGATTGACATGCAGAAGCTCCTATCAGACTGTCCCTCTTCCCTGACCTTCCTGCTTTCTGTCCCCAGCATCTCCCTGATGACTCAGGGAGGGTTCCCCCTTCCAATCTTTAGAAATATATGCATTTTCCCTCTGACAAATCGTGGGACTCCTTTTTCCACTGCTTGTCTTTTAAAAATGGTTGGGTAGGTGTGGTCCCTCCTCCACACCGGCCCCCTCAAAATACTTTGAAGGGGTTTGATGACAGAGACCAGGACTCTAGTTTCTGCTTCTTGTCCTTCCCTCTCTTTCCAGAGCTCAGTGTGCAGTAGGAACCCCACCAAAGGCCTCTCAATGGAATGACCTCAGATGACCAGCTCCACCCCCTCCCCCACCCACTCCAGCAATAAAATGGAGATTCACATGGTGAAGCAAATCATCACACTTTAATATTAATTTTTTTGAACAGAACATTTTTCCAGAGGACGATATTATAGGTATTAATATTGGAATCAGTGGAAATAGTTAGTAGAGATCATGTTTTTAAGTGATAACTTCTCAGAAGTGTCTATTTTCAGGTCATTGAAGATTATCTGTTTGGACAAACAATTTTTGAAACGATGCCCTGTGAAGGTGATCTAATGTGAGTGAATAAAACATACTTCTTGAGTTGAAAGTAGGCATATCTCTATTGCAAAATTCCAATAATCTTCTTATTCACTTAAAAAAATTACATACAAAAAAATTACCAGTGTCATTTTGAACTTTCTGTTTTGAAGTTTACATAATTATCTCAAAAACACTTTAGAAAAGTCTTTAGTATAATGATTTTATAAAATTTCTTTTTTCATTTCTTCCCCCAAAGGCCCCCCTTTTTAAGTGCCTTCTTTTAAAATAGTCATCTTTGGACCATCTCACAATACAGGGTTTTATTTGCATATAGTGATAGTCTCAAGACAGTTTTCGTGATGGTGGTTGTATGAGGTGTGGGGGAAAGAGTAACAGTGTAAGCAAGGGTCACCAGGTATGTGAAGCTCTGGCCCTTTAGAGCATATAGGAGGGAACTAGCAGTTATCCACCCTTAAAGCTGGGTAAAAACTAATCAAACGCTGGATGGAAACAGCCACCAAATCATTATGGCTTTACCAACCCCCTAATTGCTTCCAAACCACTATTTCAACAGATTTAAACTTTTTTCAATATAGCTAAGCCAAAGTCATATATTACACAGAAGTTAAACCCATCACCACTTCATCTGAGGGGAAGCACCGGCCAAAGGTCCTGGCAAAAATCAATCAGGAGCTCTTGGAAGTCAGTATTCGTCATGAAATGGGTATTCGGGATGGTCACTCCACCTGCCAAATCAAGTCCCCAAAGGGGAAAATTTCACTCCAGAGTCGCACAGCTGCATCTGTTACTAGCACCCTTGGACCATTTCACCCACCACTCCCTGGCTCTCTTAATTGTTCCCTCTGTTTCTGAAGCACCCTCCTCCCACTTTTCACCCAGGCAGCTCGTCCACCGGAGCCCCACACAGCTCCTGGGTTTAAGTGTGTGTGTTTGGGGCTTGGTGGGGGCGGCGCTGGTTGCAGCTACACCAACACTTTGCTCAGAACAAAACCACAGGCCCGCCACGTTCCAACCCCTCCCTCCCTTCTGCTGCCCTGATACAGGCTGCCTGCCAGGCCAAGGGTCCCTGGAGCGCTCTTCTTCACTGCTCGGTCACTAGTAAGGGTCCCCTCTTCTCCTCATAGTCCTTCCTTGCCTTTCTCACTAGGCCTCCTGAGAGCTGATCTTTTGAGATCTGGAATGATGACTAGCAAAGTAAGTTTCTGCTATAGTGATGGCAATGATGATGATGAACCTATCTCTTGAACAGCGTAGGTGGAATAGCCTTTAAAAGGACAAGGGTGCGTATATGTGTGCACACACATTCGTGCGGGCACGTGCGTCTATCCGCACGTGCGCACGTATCTGCATTTAAGACTCAGTTCTTTACAAGTACTCTGAGCTTTAAATTAAAATATAAATTGAAATAAAATAAATTAAATTAAAAGAAAAAAAAGACTCTGAAATTCAGTCAAGGATTAATTGGATGAAAGAAAAGACTCTTGCATTGCCCTGCATTGACTAAATAATACATTTTGTTGACCCCTGGGGCCTAATTTCTGTTCCTCTTTGCTGATTTTCCTATTTATTTCCTGGCACAATTAGTTATTTTTCTCAGTGTTTCTAGAATTAGGTATTAAATTATGTCAAATGTCCAGCCAAATAACGTCATCAATGAACTGTCTGTAAAAAAATATCAGCACATTGGTGGGTTGACCATATCTTACTCTTATTAACTGAATGATATTTATTCAGTAGAAATCATTTATCTTCAAGAGCTATTAATTAACCTATACGTGTGTCTTGGCTCCAAGTTTGTGTTCACCCTTTCATTCTCAAGACTAGGTGGTACCTTTGGATATTGATAATTTTCCCCCCTGGAAAATTCCCACTAGGAAGCTGTTTTATTAATTCAGAAATTTGATGTTAACACAGAGCAGTTTCTGACTTGAAAAAAAGTGAGTGTCCAACTAATATGAACCATGTTAATGAGCATTTATCAGGGTTCCCTTAAAGAAAAGATTGGGGAAAAGAAGGTGACTATCTGAAGAAGAGGAAGTAGCAACAAAGATTAAGAAGAAAAAAATATGTGTGTATATGGAGGATATATATATATATATATATATATATATATATATATATATACTGGGTCTAGCAGAGGTAACGCCTACTTGACTGTGGTCAGTAGGGTAATAATATGGGTGTAATGATTTATAGTTTTAATTCGAACATGTCACCTAAAATGTCATAGGGAGTGCTTGAGTATGATAGTGTCATGTTACAGAATTCCATGTAACTTACTTGTGCCAGACCCTGTATATATATTCGCTTTTCCTTTTAAAGGGCCCATGGCTGACTCTGGCAGCATTTGAAGGAGTGTGGGCAATGCTGCTTGTGCAAAGTCTCCTGACAGGTGGAGCTAACACCTTCGGATCTCACAGCAGGCGTTTCATCTGGAGCTACGTTCCGGGCTCCCACCCTGGTGCTGTTTCTACCACACTCTCATGTCTCTGTCCCAGGGGTTGCTGTTTGGTGCTAACTTGGCTCTAATGTGTGCATCACTTTGGTTTTTAGGAAGAAATACATATGGTGTGTGAATAATTGTGCTACTATTGTATTAATTTGTATTGTTTTGTATGCACACTATGACTAAATTCTCAGTCTTTAGCCTGCCATGCCTTCACCGGTCATGCCATGTCTTATGAATGTCAGAAATCTCCTTTTAAATAAAAAATGTAGATTTGTAGTAAGTCCCTAGAATGAGTATAAGTTACCCAGATTTATTTAATATGCAGAATATGCTGCCTAGTGGCCCATAGCCTGGACTTCTGTGGACGTAGGTCCGGTTTCTAGAGCCCTCTTGGCTGATGCTGGACAACCCAGCACCCTGGGGGGCACCTGACTAGTGATCCCCCAGAACTCACATGCGCAGTTCCACAAAGCGGACATTTTTGTTCAAGGCTTCAACGTTCTTCATTTCTTCTTCAGTGAGAGAGAAGTCAAAGATCTGAAATAGCAGCAATAAAAGACAGACTTTGGTAATAATAGAAAATGGGTCAAGCTCAGGATCAGGGAGGGAGTGGAGCCAGCAGTTGGAAACCTTCAAAGATTTAGGAACATCTCTGCAAATTCTAAGGAGAGTTGGACGAGGGCTGATGGGCCGCCCCACCAATGTGGAGCAGGAATTTCCTTCTGCACGTTGTCTTTAAGACAGGTCTGCTGGGGACACCTTGCAAAAAATTCCAAATGCCAGGAAACGTTAGCTGAGGACATCTGAAATTCCAGGAATAAAGAATTCTTATTATTTCTGGATAAGATGCTAACTTTTAATTCTGGACTAGAGCCTTTGAATACTTAAAAAAATATTCCCTTGTCTCTAAATTTGCTTCTGTCCTTTGAAAAATCTTTTAACTGGCTTTATTTTGTCTTCCTGATCATTTTCTCTTGTCATATTTAATGCCTCTTTTTCTAGCTTTTAATTCTTACTACATTCATTGTTTAATTTTTTTTCTTAGCTGGTACACTTTATACTCTGATTTTATAATTGTCTTTTATTAATATTTTAATATTTTATTTTAGCTTGTTTATATCTTAAACACTTGGTTTATCTGTTTATAATTTATCTTCTCTATCTTTTTTATCTTTCCTTTTTAAAGATTTTTATTTATTTATCTTTAGAGGGGAAGGGAAGGAGAGAGAGAGAGAAAAATATCAATGTATGGTTGCCTCTCATGTGTCCCCTGCTGGGAACTGGCCTGCAACCCAGGCATGTGCCCTGACTGGGAATCGAACCTCAATCCTTTGATTTGCAGGCCTGCGCTCAATCCACTGAGCTATGCCAGCCAGGGCCTTTTTTATCTTTCTACCATTTAAATTTTATTTTAGTATATTTAACCATTTCAGTCATTTATATTAGTATATTTAGCCATTTCAATTATTTATATTAGTATGTTGAACCATTTCAATCTTTCATATAAGTAATACTTTTATAAGTAATACATATAAGTATTATTATGTATTATTCGTGGAATAAATAGTAAAAGTTGTCACCCACCACCCTAGCCCTATTCCCCCCCTACATATTCTCCCTAAACATTCAATACATGGTAAGAGTAACATGCAATAATTGTATCATATCTTTATTATTCTGCAATTTTCTTTCATTTTACAGAATATGTCTTGGTGATTTTTTCTGTCAAAATATATAGACTGGCTTTATCCATTGTTTCCTACCATGCCTATAGTATAAATGTAACACAATTGACTTAATCATGCTGCCACAGATTGCTTCTAAGTGCTTTTCCCCCCAGGCAAACCTTCAATTATTTATTATACAAGTATTAGAGTCTGTGTGAGATTGTGTAAGAAAATGAAAAGTTTGCACAACTTACAAACAGTCCTGAATGAACCAATCACGTGTAAAGGGAATCCTTACTCAAGCCTCCTTTTTGCTTTTGCTGAGTGTTGGTGAGTCGGTCTTGGACTCCAGGGAACAGACAATGTACCCTAAGAGCAATGTGAAGTTGCACGCCCGGCCGAAGGCGCAGGATTTCATGAAGGTGATCTTGGTTTGCTCTATTACAGGCACACTCTCTTTCTAATGAGAATCTGACACAGTGAAATTTTACTTTGGTAGATATATCACAAAGTATAATTTGGAGAAAGAGGGGACTAAGAATCTCCAGATGAAGCTCTCTGAAATTTTTACCACGATTACTGTTTTCATGATCACTTTACAGAAACCTTTGTGAAGTAGAGGATGTGTTATGTCATTTTGTGAAGTGGATATTAAAAATCAACATGGATTCACACCAGTTCTTCTAAAATTTAGTGCGCATTTTTTATTTTAACCTGAATTTTGTTTCATATAAAATGAGGAGCCCTGGCCAGTGTGGCTCATGTGGTTGGAGCATCATCCCGTAACGGAAAGGTTGCAGGTTCGCTTCCCTGTCAGGGCACATGCCTAGGTTGTGGGTTTAGTCCCCAGTCAAGGCACCTACGGAAGGCAACCAATCAGTGTTTCGCCCTCTCCCTCCCTCTCTATCTAAAAAGCGAGGAAAAAATATCCTTGGGTGAGGATTAAAAATAAAATTAAAAAAAAAAAACAAAGTGAGTAAAATTACTTTAATAAATTTCAGTTTCCATTTTAACATAAATTTCTAAATTCCCTACCCCTCCATTATTTCTATGCAATGTGTTTCCTTAGCATGTGGATTGATGTCAGCAATCTCTCTTTTTTTTGTGTGGCCCAAATTATCCTACATGAATGAGGATCTCATATTAGAAAACTGAGCTCCTGATGTTTCTCCCCAAACTTGCTTCTCTTACAGTCAGTGTTTCAAGAAGGAGAGAGTATTAACTGATTGAACTGTTGCTGAAGGATCTAGTAGGACAGAACTAGGAACTAATTATTGGGTCTGGGGAGGGGGGGATCCCTGGAAACCTTGATGAGCGCTGTTTCAGTGGGATGCTCAGGGAGGAAGCTTGGTTTCACTGGGTTTCAATGGGGGAACGGGGCTTGGAGGCCATGAGAATAGAATTCTGCTGTAAGGGGTTGGCTGTCAACAGAGAGGAATGGATAACAGCTGAACAGGAAGGTGAGTCTAGATTGGATTGGATTTTTTGAGATTGGAGGTTATACATGGGTATGTTCACAGCAATTAAGCAGTAAAGAAAGACCATTGATAATGCAGGAGCCAGAGCAGAACATCTAAGGTTATAGAGAAGTTATTACACATGGGTAATCATAGTTTCCAAGGAATACAGTGGGTATCAGTGGGTGAAATATATAAAACAGGAGCATTGTGGGAGAGGAGGTCCAAAGACTGTCCTGCCAGGTATGGAAAGGACCACCTTTTTTGCATTCACTAAGAACTGTGATGGGGAAAATGTTGGGGACAGTAAAAGTGAGACAGGAGATAGGACCTTCAAGGAGTGGGGTCAGTGGAGGCTGCAGAGGGGTGGTGTAATTTGATACGTTTTATTGTTGTTTTAACATAAAAAGTGTTCTGCTTCTTTATTGGTTTCCTTAATTTTACCTTGAATTCTATTTAGTTTTCAATTGTGGCTAACTTATAGTTTAATTTTTCACTATATAATTTTTATTCCTCTTTCTCTTCTTTTACAGTAAACACATTTCTGTTTCTTTTGCCCTTTGTGTTTTGTGGCTCTTTACTATTTTTAAAAAATGTTTTAAGGGTTTATTTTTACCTCAGTTCTAAAAGGGCATTGTGTTGGTTTTTGGTTTTAACACCCAGTGAAGTTCATTGTTATCAGGTGAGTCCAGAACTTAAAGAGCAAAAATTGGCTGTGATTTCCATCCTCCTTTTTCTTGTAAATCTGCCCCCCTTTCATATTTTCTCATGATGCACAAATCTTTGAACTCCATCCCTTATTCTCAGGGGATTAGAAATCTATGAAATACAACATCATTAGTTGCAATGAAAAAAATTTCAAGAGAATGACAGACCCTTCAGTCCAAAAGTGTGATTTGCTAAGTGACATCAAGTTCAAAGACTTTAACCTTCCATTGTACAGACTGTGTGTGACCACTCTCAATTTCTGAACAGTAAAACCTTGACTCCATGAAAACATTTGTGTCAGGTGCGTAAATCAGAATTTTTTTTTAAATTTTGATGACCCTACACATTAGCCACTCCATGATTCTCTTTTTCTTTTAAGTGGGATGGAGACTTTTTACTGTGAGATATTTTGATGTTAATGTACTGTCAGTATTGATATAAATGTCTAGCATCCTTTCCTCTCTTTGCTAATCACAGAATCCTTTCTTTTCCTTTTATGAGCTTTCTTTCTACCACCTAGTAGGGCTGTTTGTCATGCCCTCAACTCCTGCTCATGAATGGGGATGTAGGCCAGGGGACCAATTGAATTATCTTATTTGCTGGACACAGTGAGTAATAGGGGGTGGTCCATGGCCCACCAAGGAATAATCAGGGATTGACAGAAGCCCTGACAAAAGTCTTTCTCCGGGAATATCAACCTGATGAGACCAAGAGGAAGGTGGACTTTACACCTTCGATGGTTAGAGATGAAAACCACGTGACAGATTTGATCAAGGTGGGCCACTGAGAGGATGCGAAGGCCCACAAGGGGGCCTGTAGAGCAAAGACAGACCCAGGAACAGACCTTTTGACTATTTTGACCAGAGAGGGAAACAGGAATTTGAGACATATGGTGGGAATGACAAAATAGCAATCAGAACTGAGGACAGCACGGGTGGGTGCAGGGTTTGCTCCTGGGGGTCAGGCAGAGACGCCAGATACGGTGCAGGTGCATGCACTTTGTGGACCCACAGTGAGGTGGGAATCTCATCTTTATTGGCCTCTCATGAAAGTGATGTCCTCTCTTGTGCTTGCGGTGTCTTTATACTTGTGTTCCCTGAAGTAGAGACTAAGTAGAGATTGATTTTAGGTTTTTGTTTAGTGAGGTTACTTTACAAAATGGGTTTGCTGTGCTGCAATTAGATTTGAAAACTCTTTTTAGAATTCTTTCACCAAAATTTATAATGAACCTACAAAACTCAACACCAAAAAACTCCCCGAACAATCCAATTTAAAAAGTGGACAGAAATAAAAAATAGACAACTTTTCCAAAGAAGACATGAGACGGTCAGCAAACATGAGAAAAGATACTCAGCATCACTAACCATCAGAAGAATGCAAATTAAAACCACCATGAGATATCCCCTCACACCTGTCAGAATGGCTACATCAATAAGTCAACAAATGTTGGCGAGGATGTGGAGAAAAGGGAACCCTCATGCACTATTGGTGGGCATGCAGACAGCCACTGTGGAAAGCAGTGTGGGGTTTCCCCCAAAATTAAAAATGAAACTGCCTTATGGGCCAGTGATTCCACTTCTGGGAATTTATCTGGAAAACCCAAAACACTAATTTGAAAGAATATAGGCACCCCTATGTTATTTACAATAGCCCAGATTTGGAAGCAGCCCAAGTGCCTGTCAATAGTGTATTAAAAAAGCAGTGGTACATTTACACAATGAAATACTACTGAGTCATAAAAAAATGGAAATCTTACCTTTGCAACAGCATCGATGGACTTGGAGAATCTTTTGTCAAGTGAAATAAGCTCATCAGAGAAAGACAAGTACCATATGATCTCACTTATATGTGATATCTAATGAACAAAATTAACTAACTAGGAATATATAAGAGACTCATGGATACAGAGAACAAACTGACAGCTGTCAGAGAAGAGGAGTTGAGGGGAGACTGGGTGAAAAAGGTGATGGGATTAAGCCCTTCCCCCCAAAAACCTCACACAACAAAATGCAGAGGTAACAGTGTGGTGATTACGAGAGGAAAAGGTGGGTGGTAGGAGGTAGGAGAGGGTAGGGGTGACAGAAGGAGACCTGGCTTGGGTGGTGAACACACAATACAGTGTACCATTGTGCTTTGCTTTATTGCACTTCACAGATAATTGTGCGTGTGTGTGTGTGTGTGTGTGTTTACAAATGAAAGGTTTGTGAAACCTTGAGTCAAGCAAGTCTCCTGGTGCCATTTTCCCAACAGCATTAAGCTCACTTCTTGTTTCATTGTCACATTTTGGTAATTCTTGCAATATTTCACACTTCTTCATTATTATTACACTTGTTACAGTGATCTGTGATCTGTAATCTTTGATGTTATTATTTTGATTTGTTTGGGGTGCCATGAACGGCACCCATATAAGACAGCAAACTTACTCGGGTGTGTTCCTACGGCTCCTTCGACCAGCTGCTTCCCAGTTAATAACCCAGTCATGGCTTCTAAGTGCTCAAGTGAAATGAAGAGTTCGAGTCTCTCACTTTAAATCAAAAGCTAGAAACAGTTTGGGGTGGTGAAGAAGGTGTGTTGAAAGCTGGGATAGGTTGAAAGCTAGGCCTCTTGTGCCCAAAAGCCAAACCGTGAAGGTCAAGGAGAAGTTCTTGAAGGAAATTAAAAATGCTACTCCAGTAAACACAGGAGTGATAAGAGAGCGAAACAGTCTTATTGCTAATGTGGCAAAAGTCTTATTGGTCTGGACTGAAGATCAAACCAGCCATAACATTTCCTCAAACCAAAGCCTAATCCACAGCAAGGCCCTAACTCTGCAGTCCTGTACGGCCGAGGGAGGGGAGGAAGCTGTGGAAGAAAAATTTGCAGCTTCAGCTGGTTCATGAAGTTTAAGCAAACAAGCTGTCTCCTCCATTCTGATAAAAATGTGTGAAATATTGTAAGAATTGCCAAAATGTGACACAGAAAAGGGCCAGGTGAAGCAGCAAGTTACCTGGAATCTCTAGCTCGGGTCATTATTGAAGAAAGCCACAGTGAATAACACATTTTCACCGTAGACAAAACAATCTTCGGTTGGAAGGAGCGGCTGTTTAGAACTTTCACAGCTCCAGAGAAGTCAGTGCCTGGCTTCAAAACCTCAAAGAACAGACTGACTCTCTGAAAAACTAGAATTTTAAGAATTATGCTAAATCTATTCTAGAACAACAAAGGTGGGATGACAACACATTTGCTTACAACATGATTTGCTGAATTTTTTTTTTCTGTTTGTGTTTTAGAGAGAGGGCAAGGGAGGAAGAAAGAGAGGGAGAGAACAGCAATATGTGAGGGAAACATTGATCAGTTGCCTCTTGCACACCCCTAAGTGGGGACCAAATCTGCAACCTAGGCATGTGCCCTAACCAGGAATTGAACCTGCAACCTTCTGGTTTGCAAGACAATGCCCAACCAATCGAGCCACAGTGGTCAGGGCAATTTGCTAAATGTTTTGAGCTCACTGTTGAGACCTACTGCTCAGGGGAAAAAAAAAAGAAAGATTTCTTTCAAAATATTACTTCTCATTGACAATGCACCTGGTCACTCAAGAGCTTCAATGGAGATGTACAATGAAATGAATGTTTTATGCCTGCAAACACAATATCCCTTCTGCACCCTATGGCTTTGGGACTAGTTTTGATGTAAATTGAAAACCTTCTGGAAAGGATTCACCATTCTAGATGCCTTTAAGAACATTCTTGATTCACGGGAAGAGGTCAAAATATCAACATTAACAAGAATTTGGAAGACATTGATTCCAACCCTCGTGGATGACTTTGAGGGGTTCAAGATCTCAGTGGAGGAATCAGTCACAAATGTGGAAATAGCATGAGAACTACACCCAGAAGTGGAGCCTGAATATGTGACTAAATGGCCACAATCTCACGATAAAACTCTAGTGGATGAGGAATTGCTTCTTATGGGTGAGCAAAGAGAGCGGTTTCTTGAAATGGAAACCACTCCTGGTGAAGATGCTGTCAGTACTGTTGAAATGACAACAGAAGATTTAGAATCTGACATAAACTTAGTAGCTAAAGCAGGGTTTGAGAGGATTAACTACAATTTGGAAAGAAGTTCTGTGGGTAAAGTGCTATGAAGCAGCATCACATGTAACAGGGAAATTGTCTATGAAAGAAAGAATCAACCAACTGGCAAACATTGTTTTCTTGTTTGGAGACATGGCCACGGCCACCCCAACATTCAGCAGCCACCAGCAGCCACCCATCAATGCTGGGCTGCTGGCAAGACCTCCACCAGCAAAAAGACTGTGACTCACTGAAGGCTTAAATGGTAGTTAGCATGGCTTAGCAATAAAGTATCTGTAAATTAAGGCATGTGCATTTTTTGACATATGCTATTGACTTGCTTTATTGTGTTACACGCTTTTTTTTTTGTGGTGGGATGGAACTGTACCTGCAATATTTCCAAAGTATGCCTGTAATATACAAGTAGCAAAGCAATCCCCAAAGTACTAGAAATTGTCTCAAATTCAGCTAAAATTAAACCCGGATATAGGCAGAGTGAGGCAGTGAGCTGGTGTATAATAAAACAGGAAGGCATTGCAAGTTTCTTATTAATCTAAGCAGAAAATTCTCTAAATTAAAAAAAAAACCCAAGACTTCCGCCAAGATGGAGGCGTAGGTGGAAGCACTATGCCTCCTCCCACAACCAAGTTTAAAAACAACAAAGTTTTAGCAACAAAAATGCAGCCAAAACCACAGCAAACTGAACTTCACGGAAGTCTGACAACAACAAACCCTTCAGCCAAACCAGTAAGAGGGGCAGAGCCAGCAGCAGAGGAGGGTCAAGCAGGAAAGATCCACAGACCAACCCAGGTGTGCGACCCAGGCATGCTGGCAGCCATAGGTGGATCCCAGGTGTGGAGAAGCGGGTGGACCCACTGAGGGTGCAAGGTGGTGGACTCACTGAGGGCTGACCACAGTCACACATTTGCGCGCAGATAAACTGGTGAAGGAGTGAGCAGTGGGACAGACCGTGTAGGCCTCAGTGGCAGGAAGCAGCAGAGGGAACTGCCATTGTCCCTCTCTGACCCCGCCCCCACCTACAGAGTCACAAACCAGCGACGTGGGTGACCCTGCCCTGGTGAACAACTAAGGCTCCACTCCTCATACCTAACAGGCACAAACAGATAAAAACATGGCTCAAGAACAATTCAGAGCCCCAGAGCCGATAAATCTAAGCGATGAAGAAATAGCTAAACTTTCAGATGCACAGTTCAAAACATTGGTGATCAGGATGCTCACAGAACTGGTTGATTTTAGTCCCAACTTAGAGGAACATATGAAGGCTAAACTAATTGAAATGAATGAAAATGCACAGGAAACCAATAGTAATGGAAAGGAAACTGGAACTTAAATCAAAGGAGTGGACCAGAAAGAGGAAAAAATGACCAAACAGAAAAGAATGTAGAAACAAGGATTCAAAAAAAAATGAGGAGAGGCTTAGGAACCTCCAGGACATCTTTAAACATTCCAACATCAGAATTATAGGGGTGCCAGAAGGGGAAGAGGAACAGCCACCAGTGGAAAACTCATTTGAACAAATAATAAAGGAGAACTTCCCCAATCTAGCAAAGGCAACAGACTTCCAGGAAATCCAGAAAGCTCAGAGAGTCCCAAAGAAGTTGGACCCAAGGAGGAACACACCAAGGCACATCATAATTACATTAGCCAAGATTAAAATGAAGGAGAGAATCCTAGAAGCAGCAAGAGATAAGGGGACAGTCATCTACAAAGGAGTTCCCATCAGACTGTCAGCTGATTTCTCAAAAGAGACCTTACAGCAAGAAGGGGCTGGAAAGAAGTATTCCAAGTCATGAAATCCAAAGACCTACAGCCAAGATTGCTCTATCTAGCAAAGCTTTCATTTAGAATGGAAGGGCAGATAAAGTGCTTCTCAGATAAGGTCAAGTTCAAGGAGTTCATCATCACCAAGCCCTTATTCTATGAAATGTTAAAGGGACTTACCTAAGAAAAAGAAGATAAAAAAGATGAACAGTGAAAGGACAGCAAACTCACAGTTATTAACAACCACATCTAAAACAAAAGCAAACTAAAAGGACAGCTAGATCAGGAGTGGAAACATAGAAATGAAGATCTCAAGGAGGGTTAACAACAGGGGAGTGGGAGGAGGAGAAGGGGGGAGAAGGTATAGAAAATAAGTAGCATAGACAGTAGGTAGAAAATAGATAGGGGGGAGGGCAAGAATAGTATGGGAACTATAGAATCTAAAGAACTTGAGACACATGGTCATAAACTAAAGGGGGGGTAACGGTGGGGGACAGGGTGTGCAGGGTGGAGGGGAATGAAGGGGGAATAAAACAACTGTAATGGCATAATCAATAAAATATATTTTTAAAAAACCCTACTTTTTATACTTTAGAAGCCATTCTCTTACCTGAAAGTTGTCTTTGATCCTTTCAGGGTTAAAACTTTTCGGAATGACAACCACCCCTCGCTGGACATTGAAACGCAAAGCAACTTGAGCTGCTGTCTTATTGTACTTTTTCCCCAGTGAGTTTAGAAGTGGATCCTTTAACAAAGGTGGGGAAGATAGATTCACCCTTAAAAAAAAAATAAACCCATGCATTATGTTTAGCTTGATCAGTGAGAACCAAGGGTCCATCAAGCCGCCTCCTCCTCTGTCTTCCCATTCACCTGGGAACCTACCAGGCCATTTCAGATCATCTGTAACCAGTTTCTCTGACTGCGGAGTCCTCAGTGGAGAGTTGCTCTTGGTGTGGGGAGATCAAAAGAGGCAAATTTATAGAGCTGCCTTTTTCATAATGTAAATGATATTTTTTTTTGATGTGTCTTACAGAGAGAACTGGGTTAAAAGCAGGCAATATGTGAGAATAAATAGGGGCACAAGTCTTGGAATCAATTAGGGTAGAAAAATGTTTCCTTTGGTCTGTGCAGCCCAGCCCAGTAGACGTGTTGCCATTGAATACAGAGATCCAAAAATTCTAAAATTTCAGAATATTGCCATAAAGACTCTGTTGAATAATACCTAAGCTAATGTTTATGGAGTATTTCTATCATAGGCACTGTGAGGTAATTTCATACATTTAGCATAATCAATTCTTACAACATCGAAGCGAGGAAGATTTTATTGGCTAGATTTAAATATGCAGAATGATTTGAAGAGATTCAGTAACTTTCTTAAGTTCACACAGTCAAGTAGAGTCATTTTACTCAAATAACTCACAGGAGCCTCATACTCCACATCGAAGGCAACAATTCCTGAAGAGACGGGCAGTCTCACTTACCATGATGGATCCCTACTGGTCCCCAGAGGGCTGTACCCGACAATGACAATGTCATGTTGTCGACAAAATTTCAGGAGTTTTGTCTGGATGAAATATGGATGGCACTCAACCTGTGTGAATACATTGAAGAACAGGGTGCAACATCAAGGCCTTGGCGAGGAATGCAATGGTACCTACTTTTTAAAAATCCTTGAATAAGATTCATTTTAAAGTATTATGGATAATGAGATGACTCCTGAGTATTTTTCCTAACCAGAAAACTTACACAGTTTGTATCCCAGTGAGATTAATTACAAGGTTAGTGAGAACTTTGTATTAAAAAATAAAATGAAAGCTTTGCTAATTAGATAGACAATATAAAGATTACATTTAAATTTAAATTTTGGTCATTAGTGGTACAATTAAACATTTTCATATGTTACCAGTCTTGCAGTTTGTCTTCTGTGAATTTCTTTAGCCCATTTTTCTGTTGAGCCTGAATATTTTTTCTCACTATATTTTTATTGATTTTTTTATTGTTTTTTTAATTCACAAGGGTATAAACCTCTTTTTCTATTGCATTTAAGCAAATCTAATTATTTTTGCTTGCTCTTTGTTTCTGATATTATTTTTAGATTTACCATTTTTATACTATTAAATCTAACCTTTTCTCTATCATCTTCCCATGGCTTCCTTTTCTATTTATAGCTCCAGAAAACTGAAATTCTTGTGTAGTATTTACAAGTGACTTCCCCTTTCTCTTTAACTCTTGATCATAGAGACATTTGCTTTGGAGTGTGACATAAGGCAAAGATCCGTATTGTTTCCATATAACTGGGCATTTTCCCCACACCATTTAGTGAAAAATCCATTCTTTTGTGACTAGTTTGTGCTACTTTATTTTACATCAAGTTCTTGTACCGGGGCCTGTTTGTACAATATTTCTTATTTTCTATTTATCTGTATTCTTGCTTCTTGCACTAATCTTACATTATTATAAATATTCTATATGTCTTGATATCTGGCAGGTCTTATTCCCCCTCATTATTGTTCTTCAAAACTTTGTGGGGTGGTTAGTTACTTTCGTCTGGATTTAAACTTTTAAGTCTTTTTTTTTCCTAAAAGAAACACAAATTGAGAGTAGTTAAAAGACTTGCCCAGGGTTTTATTTAGAGTGACTGCAGAACTTTCTGACTCCCAGTCCAGGGTTCTTTCTATTAAGTAACTGTTGGAATCCCTGGCCACATCCCATCCGCCTGCCAAACTGTACCTGGTTGCTGACTGGTTTATATTTGAGTCCTGGTTTGTTCAGAATTAGCTCCAGCTGCCTGCGGTTAAAGTTGGACACGCCAAGAGATTTCACCAAGCCCGCATCTTTGCAAGCTTCCAAAGCCTGTGGAGTAAATGCCAATGAATCAAACAAGAAAAAAGTAAATCAAAAGCTTTGCTAATTTGATATATAATAGAAATAAATTAAGAAAGAAGTCTCAAAATGAGCAAGAATGAATGTTTATAAGGTTAATGTAAATTCTTTTTTTTTTAATAAAAAAAATGTTTAGAGTGGAAGGGAGGGAGAAAGAGAGGGAGAGAAACATCGATCAATTGTCTTCTGTTCCCACCTTGACTGGGGCCAAACCTGAAAACCAGCCATGTGCCTTGACCAGGAATCGAACTGGTGACCTTTCTGTTTACGGGATGACACCCAACCAACGGAGCCACATCAGCCAGTGCTTAATATAAATTCTTTAAAAATGAAAGTCCCTGAGTATGTCAACAGGCATTCTGTGAAGCACGTAAGTGGTGGAGACAAGCACGAATTATGTGATTGAGTTTGAGGTGTATTGTATACCATATCATCCCCTTGTAACATACATAAGGATTCTATTTCTTGAAATTTGTTGAGGCTTTTTTATGGCATGGTACCTAATCGATTTTTGTAAGTGTTTGATATGTGTAAAATATATATCCTTCTGTTTTTGGATGCAAATCTCTCTCCCTTGTCTGGTTCTCACTCTCACACATATATGAACATATATACACATACTGGTACACACACACATATATAAAATTAGGGCTAGGTTTTCCTGGTATAAACTTTCACTTTCTCAATAACTAGCTTCTCAGCAATTTAAAAGCATATGTTAGAAATCTCCCATTATAATACTGGATTTATCAATGAGTCCATGTATTTCATTTTTAAATGTTTTTCTATCATTTTTGCTTTATATATTTTGAAGATATTTTATTGGGTACATATGTGTTCAAAATGGATACATCTTCTTGGTAAATCTAATCTTTTATCATGATGTGGGACCCTTTCCATCCCTAATACTGCTTTTGAATTTTAAGCTTATTTTGTCAGATATTAATATAACTATACAACTTTTTTCTGATAAGTATTTGACTGATAAGATTTTCCCCCAACCTTTAAGTTTTAACTTTCAGCCACTGACCACTGTGGCTCAGTCGGTTGGACGTTGTCCTGCAAAGTGAAAGTTTGCTGGTTTGAATCCTGGTCAGGGCACATGCCTGGGTTGCTGGGTAGGTCACCAATGGGGGCGTGTACTAGAGGCAACCAATCAATGTTTTCTCCCCTTCTCTTTCTCCTTCCCTCCTCCTCTCTCTAAAAATAAATAAATAAATAAAATAAAAAATACATTTTAACTTTTACATGTCTTTGTGCTTGATGTGCCTAAATTCTAATCAGTTAATCTTTGTCTTTCAGTAGGTGAGTTTAGTTTATACTGATCGCAGCTATAAATATATTTGGACTGTTTCTACCATCTTAATTTTTATTTCAGTTTACCCTAATTTTTCTGTTTCTTTTTAGTACTTCTTTCAAAAGTTTAATTTTTTTTTTAAAAACAAAGACAGGAACTTAACATGCTCATATGTCTCTTGACTCACCCCTCTCCCCAACATCTATGAGGTTTACAGTCTATGTAGAATTTAATTTCCAATTATTAAAGTTATATTTTTCTCTTGTTATTTGATCTTAGAAAGTTTTATAGATAATATAAACTATATAAAGTGTGACTTTATACATTTCTTGAAACATCTTTTAGATTTTTGCTTCTCTTATTTAGCAATGGTTTTCAGTGTTGGTCTTTATGTGTGAAACTTCTGAGCAGTGTGTAGATCAGAAAATGTTTTCATCAAAGCATCTTTTTAAAAGTTTGATCTTTACTGTATTTCCCATTACCATTTAGTCCACTTATACCCTCCACCCCCAGCAATCACCACTCTGTTGTCCATGCGTCCTTTTTCCTTTTAGCTCAATCCCTACACCCCCTAACCTCCACCCCCTCACTAACTGTCATCTGTTCTCCATCTATGAGTCTGTCTCTGTTTTGCTTTTAGGTCAATTTGTTCATTAGATTCCACAAATAAATTAAATCGTATGGTATTTGTCTTTCTCTGACTGGCTTATTTCACTTAGCATAGTGTTCTCCAAGTCCATCCATACTATTGCAAGGGGTAAAATTTTCTTCTTTTTTTATGGTTGTGTAGAATAACATTGTGTAAATGTCACATAGCTGTTTTATCCACTCATCTATTGATGGGCACTTGGGCTGCTTCTGTATCTTGGCGATTGTAAATAATGATGCAATGAACGTAAGGTTGCTTATGTTCTTTTAAATACTGTTTTGTGTTCCTTCAGATATATTCCCAGAAGTGGGATCACTTGGTCATAAGGCAGTTCCTTTTTTAAATTTTGAGTAATCTCAATACTACTTTCCACAGTGGCTGCACCAGTCTGCATTCCCACCAACAGTGCAAAAAAGTTCCCCCCTTCTCCACATTCTCGCCAGGACTTGTTTGTTCATGCATCATTTTGCCATATAGTTTCACTGGACATAAGCTTCAAGGTCAGTGTTCTTTATCTTTCAATACTTCAAAAATACTTTTCTATTGTCTCTCTTGTTCCCCGTGCTGCTGATAATAAAACAGAACCTACCCAAATAAAACTGATACCAATCTCATTATTATGACTGATTCTTTCTTTCTTACAGATTTATTGAGGTATTATTGATATGCAATAACTACATATTTGAAGTGTACATTTTGATGAATTTTGACATATTTGTGCACAGTAAAATCACCGCCATCAAGATCATGAACATAAGCAATGGAAATATGAATAAATGTTTAACAACCAGTTGTCCAGGGGAAATAAAGGGTCCCCAGTGTGTGGTGTTTGTCAATTTCTGCAGTGTAACTGCTCACCGGGTGCATTGAGCTTTACAACGTCACGTCACCCAGTTGGGGGTGAGGAGGAGGGATGCACAGTCAGGTCTTGCAGGTTGGAATGTACACCCCTGGAAACATGATCCTTTGCCCTCTAAATTGCTTGGCACTTCTGCTGAAAATCAACTGACCATGTACAGGGTCTGGCAGAAGTAAGGCTTGCTTGAGTGTGGTTGGTTGTAATAATCTCTAATTTTAGTTTGAACATTTGACCTAAAATGTCATATGGTGTGCTTGAGTGTGATATTGTTATGTTACAGAATTCCATGCTTATGATTTTGTAATAAAAGATTTTGTAATAAAAGGGTGTTATTTGTGCTGGACCATGTGTGTGTCTGTCTAGTTTGGCATTCTCTGTTTTGTTCCGTTGATCCGTATGACTATCTTTATGTCAACACAGCAGGGTCTCGATCACTGTGGTTGTATAATATTTCTTGAGGTTAGTCAGCATAAGTGCTCAAAAATGTATCCTCCTTTCTCAAAGTTGTTTTGGCTCTTTGGGTCATTAGCATTCTCCTGTACATTTAAAAATCAGCTTTTCAATTTCTATTGAGATTTTCATTGGGACTGCATTGACTATAGAGAATTAATAGCATCTGTATTGAGGCTCTGGTCAAAGCACATGGTATATCTCTTGTATATATTTTGTTAAATTTATCTCTAAATATTTACTATTGTTTTTTATTTTTATTTTTCAATATTGCTTTTAAAGAGTTCAATTCTAACTTTATGTCATTAGCATATAGATTAGATATAGATTTGGTTATTTCTTCTTTGTCCTATGGGTTATTTATGTATATGCTTCTTAGTTTCAAAATATTTTGATTTTTTTTCAGATTTATTTTTGTTATTAATATCAAATTTAATCCCAATTTTAATTAGCCTACTTTGCATAGTTAGAATATTTTGAATGAATTGAGATTTACTTTTTGTCTCACAAAATGGCTTATTAAATGTTTAACGTACACTTGAAAAATAGTGTTCTATTTTGGCCAAATATTCTATAAATGTCAATTAGGTCAAGTTGAACGGTTTTGTTTAACTCTCCTATAATCTATAGATTTTCTGTTTACTTCTTATCTCAATTATTGAGATGGAAGTTTAAAAATCTTTGAGTATAATTGTGGATTATTATCTTTCCCTTTTCAATTCTCTTAGTTTATGCTTCATGTATTTTTAGGGTTCTGTAATTAAGTACATAAATATTTAGGATTGATTTATTTTTATTATAAAACAAACTTCTTTATTTCTGGTAATAGTTTCTGCTCTGAAACCTTTGTTGATATTAAAATAGCTACTCCCACTTTCTTTTAATTACTGTGAGCCTAGTATATCTTTTTCTAGCCTCTTAATTTTTTAACCTTTAATTTTTAAAACAAACATGTGTGTTTATTTAAAGTGGGTTTCTCACATATAATATATAGTGGGATTTTGCTTTCGCTTTTTCCATTCTGGCAACCTCTGCCTTTTAACTGGATTATTTCAACTATCTACATAGACTGTGATTATTGATATCACTGAGTTTAAATCTCCTATCTTGGTATTCATTTTCTATTCCCCCACTTATTCATTTTCCTTCTGCTTTTCATTTCCTGCCCTCTCTTGGATTGATTGTCTTTTATTTTTTCATTTTTGTCTCCTTTTTTGGCTTGTTTGCTATGCTCTGGAAGCATTAACATTTTCTCTTTGTATTTGATATTCTGAAATTTCTCTATAATGTGTCTAGATCCATATCCAGGATCTAGGTATGAGTAATCTATGCCCTTTCAGTATTTCTGTTTTTTCCCCTTCAAATATTACCTCTTTTCCTTTTTTCTTCTTTCCTGAGCTTTTTATTATGTGAGTATTGTACATTCTGATTGTATACTGTATATCTTTTAGCTTTTCTTTTATACTTATTTTTTCTTGTCCTTTTCTTCTTTATATTGGGAGATTTTCTCATCCTGACCTTTTAACCCAATACTTTTTCCTTATTAATATCCATTTTCTCTCATATGTTGCATTGTTTTTTATTTTTCCTGATTATTATTTAATGCTTTTTTTAAAAAAGTTCTCTTGTTCTTGTTTCTCATTGCTAATATCTATTCTTATATCCTGTAATATATTAATTGGCTAGTTTGAAAGTTCTTGGTCCTCTGTTCTGTTTATGTTGGGATCTCTAATAGAGATATGTCGTTTCCTTGTGAGATGTAAATACCCTGTTTTGGTTGTGTTTTGAGCTGTGAGCTCATTTTCTCCTGGGGATACAGCTTTCCTGTCTAGCAGACACTTACAGTGAAATACCAGACTCCAAACCCAGTCAGCTCTGGTGAGGTCAGGAGTGAGTGTGTGGACTGTCAGGTGGCGAGGCTCAGGCACCAGAAAACCAGTTAACTGCCTCCTCACCCTTCAGCATGGCTCCACTCTTTGGATCTTCACATGTCACCCAGAGGTGGACCACCACTGGGGAGAGGGCCTGTACTCATTAGAGTGTATTCCAGGCCTTTGGAGTGTGGAATAGAAATGCAAAGGCTGCACTTCTCCATAAATCAAACAGGAATAATCAGATCACAATTCAAAAATAGAGTCTTTTAAAACAGAAGGCCCACTTCAACTTACCTCCCAAGTGGCACACAGATTTGTCTTGTGGTATATGTATTTGCCATTCTCATCTCTAGGATAGAGTAGATCTCCAGGCTTAAAAAAAAAGTGTAATTCATTGTATTTATATCTGGGGATTGAAGTGATGGAATTTGAATCGTCATTATGTGAATATACTGCAGCCCAAGGAAAGCACTTCAAGTTTAATTATTCATATATTTATATAATCATATAATAAATTATATATATTTTCCCACTTTTGTGGGATCATTTTTCCAAAATTTGTGACGCAGTCATCTTCTTATCTTACCCTGGCATTAATTTTCCCTTTACTCACTGGCAGATTATTGTTCTTAAGTCACAAGCTTCTCTCCTAGTGACAAAATCGCTCATAAGAAGAGAGTGGAGGTTGAGAACGGGGACTTCCAGACTCAGTGCTCTCACAGTCCATCCAGATTTGACAAGATCTGTCTGCGGACAGCACGGTCCGTGGCTGCTCAGTTCGGGGTAACTTGCTCACTGGCTCTTTTCCTTCCGCTTTCAGGCCCTCCAGGGGTTTGGTGTCTCTTTTTCCTACTTCACGCGTTACCTGAGGGTCAAATTTCCCTCTCTGGGTTTTTGGGTGATCCTTCCCCAACTAAGATGAACTGTGGTGTGGAATGTGGTCTCTCAGAGTTCTCATTTTTTGGCTATTTCTAAAAGTGGGACCCATTCCTTATGGTCTTGGAATAGAGAAAAATAAAAGCTGATTCCTAGGCCCCTTGGGTGGATGGTGGTAATCATTCTCCGAGGTTAGCTTAGGAATCAAGAGTTTTTTTATGGATATTTTCCATTTGAAACGACCACACCTAGTTCAAGGTGTTATCTGAGGAGCAATTAAACAGAGAAGTCTCAAAAAGAGGTCATGGCTGCAGACAGAATTTGGTCGCTCTCAACATATAAAATGGTATTCAATCCATGCAACTATATGAGATTGCTTAAAGAGAAAGTGTGTCTCAGTAAGACAAGAATATTTAGGATTAGAGGCACTGGGCCTTACAACATTTGGAGGTTGTCAGGGAAGAAGCTGCCAAAGAATCATGATAGGGTAACATTCTAGAAGCCACAAAAAGGACGTGTAAGCAGGAAGCAGTGGTCGACTGTGTTGAAATAGGCCAAATAATCTGAGGATAAAGTGTCTATTGTATATGGTTGGCAGCATGGAAGTATTTTTTTTTAAGATTTATTATTTATTTATTTTTAGAGAGGGGGAGAAAGAGAGGGACAGAAACATTAATGTGTGGTTGTCTTTCAAGCACTCCCTACGAGGGGACCTGGCCCCCAACCAAGGCATGTGCCCTGATTGGGAATCGAACCAGTGATGCTTTGGTTCACAGGCTGGTACTCAATTCACTGAGCCACACCAGCCAGGGCCCCTGTTCTGATGGATTTTAAACCTGAGTTACCATCGTCACTGCCTGGGGCCTCAACTTCCTCTTGTGTGAAATGAAGATATTCTATATTTTGGGATATATATTTCTACCCGAACATTTCCCAATAGTGTCTCTTATTATTTATGAAATGTTAGGCACTGTGTCGGTAATTTCACATGTATAATTTTAACAACTCCTCACAAAACTCAGCAAGTCAGTTATTCTTGTCTCTGATTTACCAACAATGAAATTGAAGTTCAACAATATCAAAGTGACCATGCTGTTAAGTAAAAAAGCTGAAAGTCAGTCTCCCTTGTGTTTGGGCTCCAAAGCCCATACTCTTTCCTATGCACCGTAATTAGGGGATGTGTTAGGAGAGCAGGTAATAACTTGACCAGGTCACCTGGCTCACATGCCACAGAGCTGGGCGTCAAACCAGGCAGCTTGGCTTGAGAGCTCTGCTTCGTACCACTGCGCTTACTAAGCGACTTCCAGTGAGTGTGGTGGGAATCTGTTATCTTGTTTTCTACCATCCGTATGCCATCTTTTACAGAGGAGCTCATTCCACATTGTGTGTGTGGGCTAACCTGGCTCCAACTCTTGGCCATACATGTCAGTCAGTCACCCACACCCTTACACGAAGATCAGTCAGCAATAGGTACAATAAATACATGACCCAAGCAAGGCTAACCTTTTTTTAAGGTTTAATGTGTGGTCTCTTGTTTCCTGAATTCTTAAGTTGTATTGAAAATGTAGGCTTGCCATGTCAGTGGGCATTTTACTGTCACGTGGAAAGGGGTTTTTGAGAATGAAGCCCACCGGTTGATAGGGAAAGGGCCAGAGTGTAGATAACGTAGTTTCAACTTCTGGATCCAGTTGTCTGAACTAGATATCCCTTGCACTTCTTGGACTTCTTAGTTCTTATTGCTAATAGATATCATGAACTAGATATCCCTTGGACTTCTTAGTTCTTCTTTTTGCTAATGCCAATTTAAGTTGGACTTTGTCATTTGTAACAAAAGTCCTGACTTACACAAAGGTGTGGGGGAATAGCAAGTAATGCACCAAAAAATGTGGAATTAGCTAGGTCCATATGGGATTGCGGATGTGAGGATTTTCCCACGTCCAGCTGATAATTGGCTATTCTTTCTATGCAATAGTATGTCATCTTGTTACACTGTTGCTTTGTTGTGTCTTGAGACTCTGACAATGGGTCTCAAGATTAGTCTTCTAAGGCCAATGAGACTGAAGCTTTAGGGGACTTAGCAGAAAAACGTTGGGTGTTAAAGTTTACTGGCCATTTTTGCAGTCTTCAGTAAGGTCCTAAAGAAAGATATGTGTGTTTATTGCTCCTTGGTTTGTAAGATGAGAGGGAAGATTGTATTTTGCTAAAACAGCTACTTTCTGCTTCTGGATGCTATCAAAATGTCAGAAGTTGAGCTCTAAAGTCCAAAGTCAGTGTCAGCCAAGAGAGAAAGATGGGAAGCCTAGAGAAAAATAAAATTGGACTTTGGGGGAATTCTTGTCCATGTATCTCTGAAAGCAAGATCTTGGCCCATGGATGCCCTACCTGACAAAGGAGCACCATCCAATGAAGGGCAGACTGGGTGCGAGGAACACGTTAGCTGTGCTTCCCTGTTTTACATTATTTCAAGCCAGGTGGGGGCTAGTAAACTGAAGTCTGAACAGATAGGTAGAACATGCATGTTCTTTATCAAGATGCAGAAATCATAGGTTGAGGATTAGATACAAGAAACTGACCCTAGTTTTAGTTACTCTTTTATGGAGCTGACTGCATGTGAATTTACTGAAAGCCTAAAAGAATTTTAAGGGATATTGTCTTGTCCGTGAAATCCCAACCTGACCAATGAAAGCCTTGGATTACCAAGGCCATTGTGAAGCCTGAAAACCCGTACGCATCTCCATGAAGGAGAACGTGAAAGGGGAATCTTTTCCAGAGTTCATCTTGCCCATGACCACAGAGGAGAGTTACCAAGGAAAGTGCTTCCAGAGGACAGAACAGTGGCAGCCAGGTTGGTTGCATAAAGAAATCCTGGCCACGGCAATGGGAGAGAGTCCTTGTTCTTGACCAACAGGGTCTGATTTGCTTCGTGCATAAGTGTCGAGTTTTACTTTCAATCTCTCCTTCTCTCAGTGAAAATTTAAAGCAGTTATTTCTTTTCAGCAGTGTAAATGGGATGTGCTGTTGGTGGTTAAGTGAACACTGAGTCCACAGATAGAGAAAGTTCAAGGAAGAAGTGCAATTGGACTAGAAGAATAGCACCCTGATCTTGTCGTTAACTCCAAAACACCTGACTATTCTTTGGGTTATTTCCCTTTGGAGGGTGAATATGTTTTCAGCTGTACATATTGTATTATTTTGCATTATGTCGTGTGGGACATTTTTATGACTCAGTGAGTGACAAGAAGGGTGTGTCTGGATGCCAGACAACTGAAACATGGACCGCTCTTTGGGGAGTATGTGACAGTTTTACATAGAAAGTTTAAACTACAGGTGTAAAGACACGACACAATGAAAAGAGCATTGGATTATGAGTGAAGAAACATGAGATCTAAGCCTGAGCCTGTTATACATAATCCTTTTGGCCACTTGTTGGGCAAGGTCAGTGCTCTCTGATCTATGGTAACAAAAACAATGACAAACTAATGAATGAACTAGCTCATGGTCACTAAAGAGCAGAGGGCAAAGCTCTAGGTGTCTGGACTCACCTTAAAAGCCATGGGTAATTCAATGATGTAAAGATCAACATAATCCAGCTGGAGGAGCTTGAGTGTCTTCTCCAGGCTTGGGCGGACGTGATCCGGGTCAAGAGCTGTACACCAAAGCTGAAAGGGTCAAAAGGGGTTAGTTAACTAATATGTATGCTGTGTTTTTATAAAATAATAATTCAGCCCATTACTCTTTACAAAACCTTCATACACATTTTATTCATCCACTTAACTGCACAAAAATATGTTTATGCTGAAGTTTTACCTGAGTACAACATAAACTGGTATTACTCTTGATGCCCATATTATAACTTTATTGGAATATAGTACCAGAATATATATATCCATATATTCATTGCAGCATTCTTTATAATGGCCAAGATATCGAAGCAACCTAAGTGCCCATCAGTAGATGAGTGGATATAGCATTCACTGATACATCTGATAAGAGATTGATATCCAGAGTTTATTAAGAATGTATAAAATTCAACAACAAAAACAAAAACAATCCAATTTAAAAAATGGGCAGAAGATCTGAATAGACATTTCTCCCAAGAGCAAATGCAGATGGCCAATAGACATAGAAAAAGATGCTCAACATCGCTAACATCAGAGATATGCAAATTAAAACCACAATGAGCTATCACCTCACACCTGTCAGAATGGCCATCATCGGTAAATCAACACACAAGTGCCGGGAGGGTGTGGAGGAAAGGGAACCCTCATGTCCTGCTGGTGGGAATGCAGGCTGGTGCAGCCACTGTGGAAAGCAGTATGGAGATGCCTCAAAGAACTAGAAGTGGAACTGCTGTCCTGGCTTGTGTGGCTCAAGTGGGGTGAGTGCCGACTTGTGAACCAAAGGGTCAAAGGGTTGGATTCCCAGTCATGGCGCACGCCAGGGTTGTGGGCCAGGTCCCCAGTAGGGGGTGGGTGAGAGGCAACCATACATTGATGTTTGTCTTCCTTTCTTTCTTCCTCCCTTCCCCTCTCTCTAAAAAAAAATAAGTGGTGTATATGTATAATGAAATATGACTCAGCCTTAAAAAAAATGAAGTCTTGCCCTCTGCAACAGCATGGATGGACTTACGGGGTATTGTGCTCAGTGACATGAATCAGACTAGAGAAAGACAAATGCCGTATGATTTATTTACATGTAGAATATAGAAAGCAAAATAAAATGAAGTCCTAGATGCAGAGAACATTTTGACAATTGCCAGATTGGGGGGTGGGGATGGGTGAAAAAGGTGAAGGGTTATCAGCAGGGAAGGGGGGGGAATGGGGAAACAGATACAGGGAATAGGGAGCATGAATAGTCAGTACAAAATAGGCAGAGGGAGGTTAAGAATAGTATAGGAAATGGAGAAGCCAAAGAACTTACATGTATGGCCCATGGACACGAACTAAAGGGCAGGGTGTAGGTAGGAGGGGTTGTTTAGGGCAGAGGGGAATAAAGGGGGTGGGGGGGAAATGGGATAACTATACTAGCATAATCAATAAAATATATTTTAAAAAATGAAGTGCAAATTGGTAGTTATGGAATAGTCATGGGATGCAAAGTACAGCATAGGGAATATAGTCAAAATACTGTAATAGCAATTGTGGTGTCAATGGGCAGTAGATGTAAGCACTTAGTAAATTACAAAAATGTTTCATCATCGGGTTGCACACCTAAAACCAGCATAATATGGCACATCAACTATAATTGTAAGATAAAAATTATTTGAAAAAAGAATATAGGACCAGAGACTTAAAGATCCCCCAGAACCACAGAGGGTCTAGTTTGGAGACAAAGTCTTCCTCTGCTCAGTGCTAATTTCCCACCTCACTGAGCCCTTGAACTTCAGGAGCGAGTATTGGAACAGCTGTGCTGACCTGGGGAGGCACTTCCTTTTCATGTCAGTCTGGCAAAAGATGGGCTTCATTTGAGGAAGAAATAGAGTTGTGTGAGTCACTTCACTGAATGCTTCCCATGTGACAGGCAGTACCGAAGGCGGTGAAATTTTACTTTATGGACAAGATTTAGATTCTCTCTCACTGCTCCTTTGTTCTCATTTCCTACTTGGACCTCAGGGACATTCTGCCAGTCCCTACTGAGAATGTACTGGATGTTTGGCTGAACTGATAATGTCAGCAAAATGCTGGGCTAGGAGAGCCCAGCTTTACTCCACCACAAGGCCAACAACGCAACAGCTGTGCATGAATGAAAACGGGAGATGTCGGTCCCGGGGCACAGACTCCAGCTACGAGAGAAGCAAGTCCTGGGGATCTAATGCACAGCAGAATGATTATATCAACAATGCTGGATTATCTACTTTAAAGTTGCTAAGAGAGTAAGTCTCCAATGTCCTCACTACAACCATGGAGTGGTAATTATGTGAGGGGTGGGAGTGTTAGCTGATGCTACAGTGGTAATCATTTTGCAATATATGTGTATCAGGTCAACATGTTGCACACCTTAAATTCACCTAAGGTCCCAGGTCAATTATACTTCAATAAGTGTGGAAAAAGTACAGTCAATAATATAAATTTAGATGGCCTGACAAGAAAAAAGGAAAAAGAAATTGCTCAATCTTAAAATGTTAGGCGATGAAAGATTAAGGTCTGGATTGTCAAGTTGGAGCCTATGTGTCCTTGAAGTCAGAAAAATCTAGGTTGCTAAAGGGGACTCGGAGTCTCGGAATAAGTTAGTACATCTTCTTGAAGCATTGGATTCGCTGAACAGGACACTTCAGGTGGAGAGAGTAATGGCCAAATGCATTTGGCTGTAACTGTGTGTCTGCGGGTGTCATTCTGCCAACCCGCCGCAGTGAAAATTCTGTTTCATGTGTTTTACTTACTTTTATTCCACAAACGCATATAGTTCCAGCTTTGTAATGGGTACCGTGTAAGTGTTTTGTAAATGTTAACTCATAGCAGCTTTATAAAATAGTTGATTTAATTTGATTCAATTTTTTCGACATGACAGATGATGCAACGACTTTACTGTTCTCCAAAGAGATAAGAAGGAAACTTTCAGGGTCTGTTTTTCTTGGTGGCTATTTAAAACCTCATTCTTACATGAAACAAACAAGAATAAATCGTGGAGACAATATAAAAGTTAAAAACAATTTAAGATAAGACAAAGTATTCAAAAATATCTCTGGCTGTGGGCAGGCTGCTTTGGCACAGGTCCTTAAGCTATGAAGTCAAGTTTACTCTTGTACAGAAACAGGGGGCAAGCACCTATTTAAGGTTTAATGTTTCACTCCGATGCGAGACTGTGTAATAATAAAATCTTTAGGAACCACAACTGTAAAGCTTTAATAAAGCTCCAAGCTGATATTTTGGTACAGTGGCTCCATGTGGCCCTTGGACCATAACCCACATGTAGCTGGTGATTTGGGGAATCGTAAACCCTGGGAAACCTGGAAGGAGCTGAGGGGGGAGCTGGAGGAGGGGAGGTCTAGGGGGTGGGCGAAATCAGAAGCAATGTCTTTTCCTCTTTGGAACCCTCTAGAGAATTGTATTATGTTCCTTCAGAGCTGCCTATAAGTATACATGCCATCTTCCCATTACCTTTCGTTTTAGTCATGATGCTTTACCTTTCCAATTGTTCTTCAATGCATAGGGATTTCTCACACTGGAGATTTAAATTGCTCACAAGATCGTGATCCAGACGAATGTGGTATTTCCATACAATGGAATCTTACTTGGCCACTAAAAGGAATTATATTCCGACAGTTGTTACAACTTGGATGGACCTAGAGACATTATACGGAGTGAAAGAAGCTAGACACAAAAGGGCACGTATTCCATGATTCCATTTGTATGAAATGTTCAAAATAGGAAAACTATGGAGACAGAAAGTAGGTCCTCGGTTGCCAGTGTTGGGGGAGGGGCAGAGAGGAATCAATGGGAGGTGACTGGTAGTGGGCATGGGTTTTGGTTTTTATTTTTGGAGCGATGAAAATATTTCAAAATTAGGTAGTGGTTATGGTTGTGCAACTCTTGTGAATTTACTAACAACCATTGATTTTAAAAGGGTGAACTTTATGGTACATGATTTATAGTTCAGTGAAGAAATTAATGATCTCTGAACAAATAGGTAAACACAAAAGAGAAAGAAAGCTGCCCCTTTAAAGAAAGTCTTGGCAAATGCTTCTGTAGTATGAACTATCTCCTCCTTTTCCTCCACTCCCCAAATATTTGCTTTGTGGATTTGGTTCTTTGTATTGGTTTTAAATCCTTGGCCATGTATGAAGAAGAAGCTTTGTCTTAAGCCCACTTCAAGGGGCTTGTTAGTCCCTAAGTTCCTGGCATGAGTAAGGAAGTAGGCAGTTGAAGAGTCACTCCTCTTGCTGAGTCCAACATTCTGTGGCAGAGAGAAGAGAGGCCAGGCCCACTGTTAGTATGAGGTGATGGAGGGAGGAGGGAAGCTCTCACCTTCCCGCAGTAGAAAATATCCTCTCTCCGCACCACTCCTTCTGCTATCTTCTCTCTGATGGCCTCCCCCACCTCGTGCTCGTTGCGATAGACGTAGGCCCCATCGATGTGCCGGTACCCCACGTCGATGGCTGCCTTCACCGATGTTGCACAAACCCCCTTAGGGGTCTGAAATGACAAGGGGGTTGGGATTTAGAAGAAATGGGTCTTTTCTTTAGTTTAATCATTATTAACCAGGACAATTTGCTGTACATGGTTTTCGAGTGAACACGACAAATTCCCAATTCCATGCTGTTGTCATTGGAAATGGTACCCAGAGGCTGGAGAAACTGGCCTCCCAGGGAGCATCCTGCCCTCAGGGGGAGATTTCGTCCATCCCAGGACCGCCCCCAACATTTTCAACCAGCGACGGCAGATTTCATGGGATCCGGGCTGCAGGAGGGCACAAGTTCATGGACGATTGCTCAGTTAAAAACCAAAGGCTAAAAAAAAAACAAAAAAAACACACCAAAGGCTGAATACACCGAGAGATATATCCACAGAATGGAATATGTATAAAAAAGGAATGAACTATTGACACACCCAGCAACATGGATGAATATCAGATAATTATACTGAAGGAAAGAAGCCAGACCGAAAGGAATAGACCCTTTATGATTCCATTTAGATAAAACGCTAGAAAATGAAAACTAATCTATAGCCACAGACACAGATCAGCAATTGCCTGGAGAGGGGGCTGTACACATGGGATCACCAAGGAGCTCCAGGGAGCTTGGCGGCGATGGACACGTTCACCATCTTGAATGCGGTGGTGGCTTCATGGGTTCACACTTGTGCCAAGCTGGTTTGATTGTACACTTTAAATGTGTGCAGTTTTGGGGGGTGGCTGGGGTGGGGGAAGGCAGAGAACTGTACTGGAACAACAATAAAATTAAAAAAAAATTGGTGCAGTGTTTTTGTACAGCAATTATACTTCAGTAAAGCTGGGGGAAAAGATTGTTGAGGGGCATGCTAGATTTTTCAAGATATGTTTATATCAAGTTTGGTGGCTAAGACTTTGTTCATTTTATTAACCTGCATGAAGCATAAGAATGAGACGTTCTCCCCTGAACGTCGACAGGAAAAAAAAGTGCAAATTCTTAACATGAGATAAGTTATCCATTTTCCAGATGGCACATAAATGACTGTTCTTTAGTTATGATGACATTTTATTTTTTATTTAGGTAATGTTGATTAGTAACATATACATTTCAGGTGAACACCATTGTAATTTGGTATCTGTAACTCTACTGTGTGCTTACCACCCAAAGTCTGGTTTCTTTTCATTATTCTATATTTGACCCCCTTTACTAATGTTGCCCTTGCCCTCCACCACCCTCCCTTCTGGTAACCACCACTCTGGTGTCTGTACCTATGAGTTAGTTTTTGCTTTATTTTGTTAGTTCATTACACTTTTGTTTTCTAGTCCACATATAAGTGCTTTTTGTCCTTTTCTGTCTGACCTATTTCATTCAGCGTAATACCTTCGAGGTTCATCCATCTTGTCACAAATAGCAACGTTTCACCTTTTTTATGGCTGAGTAATATTTCATTATATACATATAAATATATATATATAAAAGCAGCTTTATCCATTGATCTGTTGATAGACACTTAAGGTTTTTTTCCATATCTTGACTATTGTAAATAATGCTGCAATTAATACAGCAGTGCATATATCTTTTTAGATGAGTGCTTTCATATTTTTTGGATAAGTACCCAAAAGAGGAATGTCTGGATCATATGGTAGTTATATTCTTAATATTTTGCGGGACCTCCCTACTGTTTTCACAGCGTTGCACCAATTCGCAGTCACCCCAACAGTGTGTAAGCACTTCCTTCTCGTTGCATCCTCTCCAATACTGGCTTCTGGATAAAAGCCATTCTAACAGTTATCAGGTGATATCACATTGTCATTTTGATTTGCTTTTCCCTAATAAATAATGATGAGAAGCATTTTTTCATATGCCTATTGTCCATCTTTATGTTTTCCTTAGAAAAATGTCTATTTGGGTATCTGCCAAATTTTCATTGGGATTTTGGGTTTCATTTTTTTGGTAGAGTTGGCTGTCTATGTGTGTGCATGTGTGTGCATGTGTGTGTGTGTGTGTGTGTGTGTGTATATATTTGCAAATATTTCCTCCCATTTACTTGTTTGCCTTTTTGTTATTGACAGTTTCCTTTGCTGTAAAGCTCTTTAGTTTGATTAATCCCATTTGTTTATTTTTGCTTTTGTTTCCTTGCCTTTGGAGTCAAGTTCACAAAAAGACCATCAAGACCAATGTTCAGAAGCATAGTGCCTATGTTTCTTTTATGTATTTCATCGTTTCAGATCTTACCTTCAACTCTGTAATCCACTTCGAGTTAATTTTTGCTTATGGTGTAAGGTAGTGGTCCAATTTCATTCTTTTGCATACAGTCCCCAGTTTTCCCATCATCATTTATTGAAGAGGATTTTCTTTCTCCATTGCATGTTCTTGGCTCCTTTGTCATATGTTACCCATATATGTGTGCGTTTATTTCTGGGCTCTCAGCTCTGATCCCTTGTTCTATTCATCTGTTTCTCTGCCAATACCATACTGTTTTGTCCACTAGAGCTTTGTAGGATGGTTTAAAGTCAGTAAGAGTGATACCCCTGGCTTTGTTCTCTTTTTCTTAGAATTGCTTTGGCTATACAGTGTCTTTTGTTGTACCATACAAATTTTGAGATTTTGTTATAGTTGTATGAAAAAACAGCATTAGTATTTTGATAGGGATCGCATTGAATCACTAGATTGCTTTGGGTTACATGGGCATTTTAATGCTGTTAATTTTTCCTATCCATGAGCACAGTATATGCTTCTATTTATTTGTATTTTCTTCAGTGTCTTATAATTTTCCAAGGACAGGTTTTCTATCTACTTGGTTAAATTTATTTCCAGGCATTTTATTTTTATTTTTCCCAAGGCAGTTGGAAATGGGATTCTTTTGTTTGTTTGTTTGTTTCCCTTTCTGATAGTTCATTATTGGTGTATGAAAATGCAACTGAAATTTTGGAATATTTATTTTGTATTCTGCTACTTTGGTGAATTCATTTATCACTGCTAGTAGTTTTTGGTGGAATCTTTAGGGTTCTCTATATACAATATCATGTCATCTGCCAATAACGACAGCTAGGCAGGCAGGCTCCACAGGAAATCGGGAAGGGTGGGAAAGTGGATATCCCCACACTGATGCTGTGTTGCCAGTCGGGCTAGTGGGTTAAACGGCCCTTGCCCCAGAGGCACACAGCTCAGTGTCTTCCAGTGGGTCTCTGACAACCCCTGAGTCTAAATGGACCTCCTGAAGAGCCTTATAAGAAAACCTGCAGCAGATCCAGGTTGCCTGCAGCTAGCTAAGTTTTTCACAAGGCAGGAGCTTGGCAGGGGTCAGCCACGGGGAGTCAGGAGCAGGGGGCGAGTACAGCTCTGCAGACTGATGCCTTATGGGGGCGAGTGCAGAAAAGATGGTGTCTGTGGCAGCCTGGGAGAGGGACTCAGATCAGGGGCAATGGTGGCTGTCCCTCTAGCCCTCTCCCTGAAGCCACACAACCCAGTCTCTCCCTGTATGACTCCAGTTTGCTCTGCATTGCGGTCCCTCCCTTAGAACTCAGGGGGAATACTCATGAATGCAATTGTGTGTTGACACTTTGGGAGGGTGCCTGGGTTTCTAGCAGCCTCCGGGGAAAATGGATTCCCCACCGATTTTTATAGACAGATGGAATGTGGGTTTCTCTTCTCAGCACCGGTGTTCCTGGCATGGAGCCTGGAGTGCAGCCGAGCTCTCACCTCCTCAGGGGGTCCTTTGCAGCTGAGATATCCCTCTGTACCCTCAGCTACACCACATATCAGTGCAGGGCCAGGCATATTCACATCTGCACCCTTCCTACTAGTCTCCATGCGGTGCTTCTGTACATCCTTAGTTACCAGAGTCCTGTTCAGCTAGCCTTCAGTTGATTATTCAGATTGATTGCACTATAATTTAGCTGTAATTCCAATTTGTTTCTGGGAAGGAGGGAGTGTGATTTCTACCTACTCTGCCACCATCTTGGGTCTCCAATCATATTCTTTTATCATCATTTGTACCTTCTAGATCTGTAATAACTTTTTCTCATTCATCTCTGATTTTGATTCATCTCTTTTTTCCTCAGTGACTCTAGGTAAAGTTTTATCATTTTTTTAATCTTTTGAAAGAACCAATAGAAAACTTAATTTCTATTGTCTTTTTATTCTCTATTTCTTTTATTTCTGCTTGTATTTTTATTATTTTCATCCTTCTAATAACTTTGGGCTTCATTCGTTCTTTTTTCTAGTTCCTTCAGGTGTAATGCCGACTATTTATTTGAGGTGCTTCTTGTTTCTTGAGGTAGGCTTGTATTGATGTAAAGCATCACTACAACATCTGTAGTGATGTATTGATTTTAGCATCACTTCTGCTGCATCCCAAAGAATTTGGTATGTTTTATTTTAATTTTTATTTGTCTCTATGCATCATTTGCTTTTCCCCTTTGATTTCTTCATTGACCCAATAGTTGTTGATTGTATGTTGTTTAATCTCCACATATGTAGTTTTCTAGCTTTCTTCTAGTAGTTGATTTCTAGTTTATATTATTGTGGTTGGAAAACACGCTGATATCGTTTCAATTTTCTTAAAGTTATTGAGACTTTTTTGTGTCCCAACATATTGTCTACCCTTGAGAATGTTCCCTGTGCAATTGAGAAGAATGTGTATTCTGTCACTTTGGGGTAGAAAATTCTATAAATGTCTATTTCAGTCCACCTGATGTAATGTTGATTTAAGACTGATTTTTTTTGTTTACTATCTGTCTAGATGATCAATCCATTGGTGTAAGTGGGGTGCTACAGTCTCCTACTATTATTATGTTATTATTCATTTCTCCCTTTGGGTCTGTTAATAAGTGCTTTATGTATTTTGGTGCTCCTAGCTTGGGTGTATGTATGTTAATAAATGTATTCTCGATGGACTGTCTTGTTTAGTACCACAAAATGTTCAGCTTTGTCTTTTGCTATTTTTTTTGTCTTGAAATCTATTTTGTCTGATATCAGTATGGCTGTGCCCAGTTTTCTCTGGGTCCTATTTGCTTCAAGAAT